TAAATTTTTTATATATATATATATGTATGTATATATACGTTTTTGTTATTATTGAAACCACACCACACTTCTCCCGGAGTTGTTCCGCATGTTAAAAACATGGGCTCGATGACAATTTAATTTATGGGATCAAAAACAAAAATGAGAGTGTGACAGGACCATTGTTTAGGACGGTTTAAAACCAATCATTTCAACCTTATCACATTCGCTACTAGATTCCAAAATAAAACCAATCATATTCTCAACCTTATCAACTTTGTTTTTCAGCGGGAAAGAAAAAGAAAACATCAACTTTGTCTTTCATTTAAACCAAAAAAACAAAGAAAAGAACTTTGTTTTCTTAAGCCAACCAACATTTCTATATATTCAGGAAAAGAGATTGCTGTTGGCTACCAAATACCAATGGAGCTAATCGTGATCAAGACCGTTCGTGTATCGCCTGCTACAAACTTGTCCAATGGCTCGTTCTGTCTATATCTTGTATTGCATATATTAACAGAGAGATTACAAACGTATATATACATGTAGTAGAAGAAGGAGACTCTAGGTTAAGCTAATTATAGAATGAGTAATAAACAAGGAAAGAAGATATTGTGGCAATGAAGGAATGATACGATTGTATCCTTGACACGTTCAACATCCCGAATCTCCCTCTAACTTTCTTCGACTTACACTTTATGAAATCTCTTCCTACTCAACAAACCATTTTCTACAAACTCGCCGAATCATCATCATCACGCGAGTCTTTCCACTCGCTAATCCTCCCAAAACTTGAGCGCTCTCTCTCTATTGTCCTCCGCCATTACCTCCCGCTCGCTGGTTGCCTCTTGTGGGAGCCACAAGATCCAAAGCCATGCATTGTTGTCTCCAAGCATGACACAGTATCCCTTACCATTGCAGAGACCAGCTCAGACTTCTCTTTTGTATCGGGCAATGGACTACGCCCCGCCACCTATCTACATCCTCTTGTACCCGAGTTATCGAGCTCTGAGGACTCAGCGGCCGTGCTTTCCTTGCAAATCACGTTATTTCCGAATCAAGGATTCTGCATCGGCATTGCATCCCACCATGCTGTCTTAGACGGTAAAACGTTAACAATGTTTATAAAATCTTGGGCTCATATTTGCAGTTTACAAGAACATAATAAAACCACGGAGTTTCCTCTTCTACCGGACGATCTAATTCCATGTTTTGATCGTACGGGCATCAACGTTCTGTCCGGACTTGAGACAAAGATGTTGGAACTGTTGTTCTATCTCTCAAAGGACATTGACGACTTAAGAAGCTTGAAGCTTCCTCCCATCAAAGATATCAGCTCAGACGTTGTTCGTGCCACGCTTGAGTTAACTCCAAAAAACATTGAGAAATTGCGGGAGCGAGTCAAGAACGAATCAGCTCGCTCTCCCCTCGAGCTTCACTTGTCAACGTTTGTCATCTCGTACGCTCATGCATGGACATGCATGGTGAAAGCGCGTGGAGGAAACGCGAACAGACCAGTACATTTTGTATATGCAGCTGATTTTAGGCATCGGTTAGACCCGCAAGTTCCAGCTAGATACTTTGGGAACTGTGTGTTTCTGATAAGTTGGTTCGAATACCAAGCGAGGACATTTTTAGAAGAAGATGGTTTTGTTAAAGCTGTCGAGATCCTAAGCGATTCGGTCAAAGGTTTGAGTTCACGAGGGATAAAGTCAATCTGTGAGGATTTTGTGGAGGGATCGAAGAACATGATACCAGATGCACAGATCGGATCAGTTGCATGGTCTCCCCAATTTGGACTGTACGGATCAGATTTTGGGTGGGGCAAACCCGCTAAGACCGGGGTTGTGTCTATTGACCGCAATGAAGCATTCTCTATGTCGGAGAGAAGGGATGAGCATGGTGGTATGGAGATGGAAGTATGCTTGAAAAAGAGTGAGATGAACATTTTTCTTTCTTTATTTAAAAATGGCCTAAGCGATTAGGCTTTTATTAGATCATTCTTATGTTACGAATAATATTTCATACGTTCTAGGTTTAATTATAATCACTATCATAAGTTACCATTAATTACTATTTCTATCACCTCTTTCTCAATTATCAATCGCTTTCCAACATTTTCTACACATCCACAAGTATATAGAATCATGCTTATTCACACACATATTATCTTTCATTTATTATTTTCTTTTATTAATTTCTTGTTCTTAATACTCAATTTATTTTTTCTTAAGTTCAACATGCGTATACACTAGTATCAGTCTGCATATCAATATCAACATTTTAGACAACAATCACACAGGAAAAAACATCTAACAAGTGGTCGCCAAGACTCATCGCTGTGCGGTTTTTAGCGGCTTAATTTCGAAAACTTGAGAGGATTTTTTCAGACCTAGTCTCCTTCTAGATGTGTCAAAATGGGTCCAAGCTCATTGGTCAACCTAATACATGAACCCAATGACTAAGAAATTTGGATCTTACTGAGTTTATGGGCCAAATGAGTAAATGAGTCTAATGAATTGGATTAATTTTTTTTGACAAGTCACTTATTTAACCATAAATTTTGTTTAAAAAAAACTGAACCAAGCCTAATCTATAATCATCTGTATCAAATGTGTAAAGTGTAAACTGTAATCAATAGTGTTAACCACATTTAATAAATTGAATCTAACCTTAATCAACCAAACTCTATCTCACTCTCATCTTCGTCTATTGTCGACTGAATCTCCCATCTTCGATCTAACCTAATCGAATCCCTCATCTTCGATTTCTCTAGCTCACTCACATACACATGATCTCTTTCAATCTTCTCTTTGTCGTCATTGACTCTAGCTTTCACAGTTTCACTTGGAAGAGCGTAAAGGTTATGGCATTTGTTTTGTTTTTTTTTGCTATTTTTTGTTTGAATTGGAAGTGATCTCCGAATCAATTTTTGGGGTTTAGTTATGATTTTTCAAAGTCTGTGTTTTGTTGTTAGACACACTATCAAGCGTGATCTATTGAATATTCATGCAAAAACATATATTTTCCTGATCACCACATAAAGAGATACGATCTCCTTCATTTTGGAAGAGACTTCGTAAGCTTTTAGTGTCTCTTAGGAATTTTCATGACTTTGTAGCTTTGAGGTACAGTATATGCCGTGCTGAAACTTGAAACTAATGGTCCTAGTTAGGATAGTTTTTTTTTTCAGTTTTTTGCATGGAACTAGAAGAGGAAGACTTCTCCACAATTGTTTATAACGTATTAGTAGAGAAACAAAAAAAAACAAAAAACTTCAATTCAACAAAACTAGGCACATTAATTGTTTTATAACTTATGTATTCAATTTTCTTTACTAACAGAAAAACTCTAACTTATATATGTAACGGTCAATTCAATCTATAAAACAAAACCAGAAGTGGTGGGCTAATGGTACTAGTCTGGTAGAAGAAAAAGTTTTTTTTTTTTGTTTTTTTGTCAACCGCTATTAATTAAGACTCAAAAGAGCCATTCTTGAGGAATGTTGTTTACATACGTGATATGATGCGGTTCGGTACGAATATTTCTTGCTAATTTATCCGCTTTTACATTTGCACTACGAGAAAATAAAGATAAAGAAAAATTTGTGAATTCCTCTTTGGTAGAAAAAGTTTATAAACAAAAAAGAAAAGAAGTAACGTCAATTTAACATTGAAACTCATGCATTAAATTTTCATAAGTAATAGAAAAACAAAATGTGACTTATGTAACAGGCAAAAGAAAACGAGTCAATTAAATTTTCAAAAAAGAGAAGTAACGTAATATAACATTAAAATATAATCTTATATATTTAACAAAAAAAATTCGCGGACTTGGAGTCTTGGATTGAGAGATAAGGTTTAGATCTCGGATTTCGTTTTCATTTTCTGTGAATCCTCTAAACTGTTCAATTTTGTACTAGTATCAATAAAATTTTAATTGTATTTGTTTTTTTTTTTCATCTTGTTTGAATTGTGTATAAGCTTTTGGTTGGCCGCATCGATTTCTTATCTTTAGCATCTACCGGGGCAAAAAGATAGTATATATCACACATTGAAAAGATGAGATAAGTAATCTCCCAGGTGGAGGTACTGGGTTCGACGCCCGTTGGGAGGGATCTCTTTTCCGAAGGAGAAGAATTTAACCTGGTGTGGGTTCCGCCTCTGGGAGATGTAGGGCCTTCAGGCTTAAACTTCCAGATATTCAAAAAAAAAAAAAAAAAAAAAAGATGAGATTAGTAATCTTTGTATCAAATTTCAAGTGGAATCAAATGCTTTTAATCAAAAAGAAATCGAGGAAACGACGACGGATTTAAAACAGATTGAATTTTTGGAAAATAAAATGTTGGGGTTACAACAAAATGTTAACATTTCAAAAGAACAATTAGCACTAGCCATTTACAAAAAGTTTGAAATACAATTACATTATTATGGATGGAGATTAAGATCATGTTATTTTTAGTGTTTAAAACCAATGACACTGTATTATGGTTGGAGACTAATATGCATATAATTTTCTTTATTAAAATTATTTGCATAATTTCTATTTATTTTGCTACAAATGATTACCAATTATTGTTTGCATCATATGCTATTTACTACCAAATAATCAAACTTTTGGTTTAATAATATTTTATTTTATTAAAAAAAAAGATTGTTAGCTTATATCAACAAAAAGAAACTATTACAGTTATGTTATATCATTATGATTCATCTGCTAATTTTCTAAACATGAAAACAATGTGTAAGAACTCTCTTGACATTCCGAAAAAAAAAAAAAAACTCTCACGACAATTTTTGTAAATTTTTTAAAAAATTCGTTAAAAAACTATGATGTTTTACGTAATTTAGTAGCAAACTAATGCTATTTATATCTAATCGCTTCTTATTTGATGGCCTGTGTTTCCTAACCTTTTTTTTAATATCCTTTTAACAACTCTTAAAGACTTGTTTAAATATACAAACTATGGTAATACCATGACAATACAAGAATGGATGACTGAATCAAATATCAAATTAGGTGAACAACACCTTTCTTTATTATATTCAGCATAAATCTTTAATTCTTGTTACATCATTACTTTAGTGCTACAACGATAAACACTCATATTGTGGTGACTAGATTTAGTTTTTAAACTTGGCCTCAAGGTCCTTGACAACATTGACATCTAACTGAAACGCCTGAGCTAGAATATATGGATTAATCGGAGGCGTTGACCCAAACACAGTATCTGCGATTGTGATAACACCAGCGTTTTGACTACTCAATCCAGCAAAGGCCACTGCGGGGGTCTTCCCGATATTCACTTGGAAATGGATCATTCCTATGGGGAACACGAACACGTCACCGGGGTTCAGCACTTTGGCGAATAAACGGTTATTGTCTTGATTGGAAGAGACAAAACCGACATATAACGTTCCCTCGACAAGAACAAGGATCTCAGTGGCACGAGGGTGCGTGTGAGGCGGGTTTTGTCCATACGGCGCATAGTCTATGCGGACCAAGGATATTCCCAAAGTGTTTAACCCTGGAATCTGGTCGACATTGACCGTTGTCACGTTGGATCTGACTTTATTATCAGTGTTTCCTGCCTGGTTGAGGCCTGAGAAGAAGAAATCTTCTGCCTTCGCTTGCTTCGGATCCTTACAGAACTTACCATTCACAAAAACTGCAAGTACAAATATTGATTCGAAAAATGTTTTATATATTTCAACTTCACATTAAATCATAATAAAGAAGAACAGTAATTAGTAGAGAGTTAAAGATTTCGAGTTTTATACGCACCACCATTGTTGAGGTCATCGATGGCCACACAAAAGTCTTGAAGTGGACTTGGATCAGAAGCTTCGGCAAAGGAAATGACCAAAGCCGATAAGGTAATCAGGATGAGAGACTTGGAAAACCTCATGATTTTCGAACAAAAGGTTATGCTAATTAATGCTTTTTAAAGACTTATATATTTGTGTGTTGTTTGTGAATGGTGAAGCATTTGAGCTCAGTATTTATAGGACAAAAGCGCATGTCATATTTGACGTGGTCCAAAGATAATTCTATACATTGTTTCAAAGTGGCCGTTCAAAAACGTTTAACAAGTCTATTGATAACTTAATCTAATCTTTAATTAAAATTGGATTTGCATTACTATATACATAAAACCATAGCGACAGCATATATTGATTTATACTAGTAATTATACTTTAATCACCTTCTAGATTCAAGGAGTTCCCTAGTAGTTTAACAAGGCAATTTATCAACTGACGTGACTTGGAGATTACCATGACGCGAATAGAAGTGTGCCAAATAATAAGCCATGTTTTGTAGTTACATTATATTCCAAATGTAATTAACATTGAAGTGCTTAATTGGTTAGTTAGCCTAGGACTCAATAAGACCACCAAATATAGGCTTGTTAAGCTTATATTGATTTATACGAGTGTTATCCTTGTATCACCTTCTAGATTCAAGTATTATTTTACCAAAAAAAAAAAAAGTATTATAGACGATGAGGGTGTTTTCGTTCAAAAATAAATAATAGAAGATGAGTGTGTAATTATTAGCAAATAAAATATGTATACATCACCGCATGCTACATATAGGCACAATGTAAGCTGAAAAAAGTCACCTCATACAACGATCGGAATGAGTATACCGAGCTTTTGTTTTTCTCCGAGGGGTGATCCTAGCTTTTACCACCCTTCTAATCTCCTTAAAATAAGTATTGTAGCTGTCGAGTAGCCCACTCACCGGATTTTCTAATACAATAACATAGTAAATTTAGCGTTTAAGGGAAATTGATGTCTGGATCTACAAGACAACTCTTCTTCAAGTGGAAACCACTAGACCCCAACCACTTAGTTCAATAGAATTTTTGTTGAATGGTGACTAACAAATATCAGCTAATTATTCTAGTACTTGGACTGGTAAACAATGTTTTCTTGGCAAGCATTGTTTAGATCAACAAAACTAGTCAATATATACAATTGTTCTCAAACTTTATAAACTTGTTCTTTAAATAGTGAAACGACAATTATCCGTTGTCTTACGAGCGAGATATCTCAAACATAAAATTTATATTTTGACAATAAATTAATTTATTATTGGTCAACTTGTCAGTAACTACTAACTACAAAACCGCCATCGAAAATTTTGGAAAATGAAATATTTGTTAAACTAGGTGTTTTTTCAACCACACTCGCTGTAGACCATGCAAGTCTGTGACGAAAGCAGATCTATGAGGAACCATACTTAGGTTTACCCCTGGGGTTAACCTTTAAATTCACCCAACAGATTATAGCCAATCGTTTTGCCATGTCATTATTAATACTAGAGAATTAAAAAAAAAAGAAACACAATTAAAAAAAAGGAAATCACAAAATAGATTTAGGGTTTAAGGTTTAGAGTTTAGGGTTTAGGGTTTAGGGTTTAGATTTTACAATTAAAACAAAATTAGATGTCGGTTTGGGTTGCCAAATGAGTGGTTAGGGTTTAGATTTTATAATTAAAACTAAATTAGATATCGGTTAGGGTTTAGGGTTTAGGGTTTAGGGTTTAGATTTTACAATTAAAACGAAATTAGATGTCGGTTTGGGTTGCCAAATGAGTGGTTAGGGTCTAGATTTTATAATTAAAACGAAATTAGATATCGGTTTGGGTTGACAAATGAGTGGTTAGGGTTTAAATTTTACAATTAAAACGAAATTATATATCTGTTCACCGCTGGGTTTAGGGTTTATGGTTTAGGATTTGGGTTTAGGGTTTAGGGTTTATATAACAAATATTTCGTTTTAATTGTAAAATTTAAACCCTAACCACTCATTTGTCAACCCAAACCGATATCTAATTTCGTTTTAATTATAAAATCTAAATCTTAACCACTCATTTGGCAACCCAAACCGACATCTAATTTTGTTTTAATTGTAAAATCTAAACCCTAAACCCTAAACCCTAAACCCTAAACCCTAAATCTATTTTCTGATTTCTTTTTTTTTTAATTGTGTTTTTTTTTTTAATTCTCTAGTATTAGTAATGACATGGCAAAACGATTGGCTATAATCTGTTGGGTGAATTTAAAGGTTCACCCCAGGGGTAAACCTAAGTATGGTTCATCTATGAGACTATGACAGATTTATATCTTTTTTTGTCAAAGGAAAGATTTATATCTTTTTTTGTCAAAGGAAAGATTTATATCTCTGTCTTCTAGATATATCTAAGATAGAAATACAACATATTTTGTAAATCTGCTATGACTTAGATAAAATTAGAGCATTCTTTATGTAAGTTATCTATGACTAGGTCAAGTTAACGTTTACCGGAAGACTTGCTTAATCAGGCTTGATAAGCATATTTACAACAAACACGAACAAGTCTTCTATAGATAGACTGCTATAGCTAGAATAATATAAAAACTTTTACGTCCACTATGTTGGTTATTTTCGAAATTCATTGCATCTTTTGGAATAGTTTTAACTTTTAAAATGTAAAGACTAATTCAATGTTGTTTATCGGAAACAAAAAAGGAGACTAATTCAATGTAGGAAAAGTAATGTTAAAATCAAATTAAGAGAATTTAGTTGGTAAATATTAGTCTTGAACCACTGCAACAAGAACAAAAGCAAACACCAAATTTCCACCACGTATGTGAGAAGGTCTCATTAATATCAACCATTATAATTTGTGTGTGTATTTTTCCAACAAGACACACTTTATAAAACTCATGCTTCTAACAAAATGATACTTTGATTTATCTACATCTATTTTGTATCAATTGCATGCTTAATTAATCTTTATATCCTATTTTAAAAAAAAATGAATAGCATGAATTATGTGGTTTTTGGCTTCGTTTTCACATACTCAGGGTCTAAATGGTAACCGAGGAATCTGGCTGAATTGCTGAATATGGCTGAATTTTTAGTGATTTTCATCAAATACTAGCTGAATTTTTACATTTCCAAATGATAACCGCTGAATCTACCTGAATATTTTTGTGAGTTTTGGTAGAATTTATCAAAATAATAAATACTTTAACTAAAAAAAATATCGTCAAATAATTATGAATATTAATAAAATAATCAAGAAAATATCTAAATAAAATAGACAAAATTATCTAATGATTTATTTAAGTGTTATACTTATAAATAAATACTAAATTATCTAAAATTAATACAAATATAAATAATATATTGTTTAGTAAAATTGAGTTATGCTTCCATATTTAATTTTTAAACTATGAAAATATGTAGATAATTAATGAAAAGCTTTGTAAAGCATTATTGAAAAATTAATTTCAGAAATTAACATGATAATATAATATAGATTATCTAATTGTTTTTTTTATGTTGTTTTTGCGAAATTTTAAAAATTTATTTTAAATTAACTAAAAATTATTAAAATTATCCAAAAACGACTATAGTTATCCGAATATGAATTCGTCTCATGTATATTTGGGTAGTGATATATTGTGTATCTGAATTATTCATATATCGAATTTGTATAATCTTACTTATTTTTAAAATATAAATTTTATGTGTAATTTTTGATATCCAAAATATTTTAATTCGAGTTATGTACTCGTTATTATCCAAATTTTTACCAGATATAAACATATCTACGTATATGTTGGTGCCGAAAAAACTGTTGAATCTGGCTGAATTCTGCTGGATTTAGTTTTTTGCAAATGGTGACTGCGGAATTGATGAATCCAGCTGAATATTTTTGTTATGTTACCATTTAGGGCCTCAATCTCATGTTAGATTTTTTTTTTATTTGGGAGCATTCTACTAATATTAATCTGAAAGTGCGATTATAAACTTAACAGTAAATTTTGTCAATATTACATCAAATGAACAAATTTTTTGTTCTCACTAAGGATAAAAAATCAAATCATTAAAAGTCTTATATATTCTAATAGTCAAAGTTTTAAAAATCTTTTACAATCTCTATGTAATGAAACCAAACAACACCTATATAGCCAAACAGGTCTTATACAATATATGTATATGTATTTTTTTTTGTTCTTGAAATATTCATTTTTTGTAATATTAAATTCTTTTTTTTATTATAGACTATCATTAATTTGTATCTCATTTAGCAGCAAATTGATGCTACTTATATATATATGATGGTTTGTACCTTTTTTATCTTTCTAACAACTCTTAAAGACTTTGAGTGAATATCCTCACATTTAAAGGCTAAATCGTATATAAGAAAAGTAAATTTAATATTAAATATCAATTCAGGTGATAAACACCTTTTTATTTTATTAAGCATAAATTTAATTCATGTTACATCATTACTTAAGTGTTAAAACGATAAACACTGGTATTGTTGGCGACTAGATTTAGTTTTTAAACTTGGCTTCAAGATCCTTGACAACATTGACATCTAACTGAAACGCTTGAGCCAGAATCTCTGGATTAATCGGAGGTGTTGATCCAAACACAGTATCTGCGATCGTGATAACACCAGCGTTCTGACTACTTAGTCCAGCAAAGGCCACTGCGGGGGTCTTCCCGATATTCACTTGAAAATGGATCATTCCTATGGGGAAGACGAACACGTCACCTGGGTTCAGCACTTTGGCGAATAAACGGTTATTGTCTTGATTGGAAGAGACAAAACCTACATATAACGTTCCCTCGACAAGAACAAGGATCTCAGTGGCACGAGGGTGCGTGTGAGGCGGGTTTTGTCCATAAGGCGCATAGTCTATACGGACCAAGGATATTCCCAAAGTGTTTAACCCTGGAATCTGATCGACATTGACTGTTGTCACGTTGGATCTGACTTTATTGTTTGTGTCCCCTGCCTTGTTGAGGCCTGGGAAGAAGAAATCTTCTGCCCTCGCTTGCTTCGGATCCTTGCAGAACTTACCATTCACAAAAACTGCACGTACAAAATAATAATTTACAGAAGAAAAAGCTTTTATTACAACATCCAATTTACAAAATAATAAAGGAGAATAATAATTAGTAGA